ATGCGCCGTGCATCAGAAGCACCGTACGTTAAAAGGAAAGGAGGAAGCAACGTAGGTCGTCATTTCCTTGGGATTCCTGTGAATTAATGTCAATAAAGTATCCAGGGACACAAGACGTAAAAGGAGATGAGGACGTTGGGATAAATTTTTTTTTTCTTTTTTTTCACCTGACAACCATTAAATCAACGATATCTAAACTTTCATAATAATATAATAATTACTATCATTCATCCAGTATCCCGTTGAACGTCCTATATTTCCAAACGGCAACAATTTTTAAAACGTGAAATTTCATTCGATCCCGATAAAAGCAAACGATTCCTTACCGATCTTTCATGGTTGACGATCTTCTCGATTTATTTATATTCACGGTTATATGTAGGTATACGTCGCTGTTATATCATGAATCGCGATATAGATAAATCGGTATCTTTTTTAACCAAAAAAATAATTCTTTTATCGTGATTATACGATCTTACGGGGAAATAATTTTGATCGGCAAAATGACGCAACCAAAAGATTCACAAGTTTTGTCAATGCAATTGAAACGACCACAGAGATTACCGATTTCCCTCGACAACGCTTGCGTATAGATACGCTTGATAAATAAAACTACGAAATGCCCGGGCCATAACGTATTTCATTCAAGGCTTGTAAAACGTGACGGTTTCTTAGAGGACAAGTGGAAGGAAAAAAAAAAATTCACTAGTTAGCCAGGAACTTTCTATTCCGACAGATCGGCCAGAACCGAGCAGAGCGAAGGAATCGTCGCGGAAGAAATCGCTGACTTCGTATTGACGACAGTAATCATCGGCATCGTAATCGGGCAGGAGGAATCGTAGCGGATGGAAATTATCGAATCTCGATCTGTCATGGAAAATTGTATATCAAATGGTTAAACGTCAGGAACGAGAATCGGTACCGTGAAATCGTTAACGGCTGCCTGTACTAACTCGGGATCAGTGTCAGTTTCGTATTGGATGTTTTGAATAATAAAAAAAAAATGTCATAGGCCAATGAGCGAAATTTGAAACACGTGATCATCCTTTACTTTCAATTTTATGGGTAATTTGATATTCTCACGATACTAGTATACTCCCCGTGTGGATGTATACGTGGTCCTTTTCTATATAGAAAATTCAGAGAAACCATTTCGTACATTTTTATTTCAATATTCTCTCTTTTTTTTCTAATGGGACTTTTTCTCTTTCTTTTTTTTTTCTATTACGCGTATGCCTATGCCTTTTTTTTCTTTGCTGTACTACGCTAGACTCCGGTCGGCCTTGCTTGAGCTTCCATGTCTCCGCGACGAAGAGGAGTCATCGAATCGTAGTGCTCGGAGTACGTGACTTGACGGTGAGTAAGAGCGATTATAAACTATAGGCGATCTGATACGCGCAGTCTGAGAGACGTAACGGCACCTTGCGTATACTACAAATGTCTACGCAGTGCAATATATGTATATGTAACACAAGCATAAATTTGCATATGCAGCGACAGACAATTCGCGCCAGAGGGTATTAAAGAAAAGAGAAAGATGAAACGAGGAAAAATGAAAAATAAAAATTTTAAAATTGACAAAATAGGTAAACTCGAATAACTGAAGATAGAGGTATTTAATTTTTCGAATTGTTCCGTGGAATCGCGCGAAATTTTTCTTTTATTAAATGGCAATCCTTTTGGGATAATTGAAGAAAAAAAATATTCCTCTCGCTCCACTTCGAGAAGCCCAGACATCTTGTAAGGTTGCTCTGCCTGCTTACCTACCAGATGAGGATCGGATGGAATTGCGCGCGACGCGAGACGCAGTTGATAAATTGACTCGTCGCCTATAGAATTTCACGGTGTCGCGTGTCAGGCTGGCCAACTTGGCTTTTTAACTTTTAATTAGCATCGGACTTCCGCCCACGCGTCACCAGATAAAACGCGAGCAGTAAAAAGGTAGTGACTTCATTCGACAGGGGTTGTCGATGCTGGCGGAGGAGGAAGACGTCGAGTGTGACGTCTTCAAGTTGGTAGGTAATTTCGATTTTTTTTTTTAATACTCGAACTCGATCGATTTTCTTGCATCGCCGTCTAATCGATTTGCCGAATGATTTCGTAAAAAGAAAAATTGCGATTTCACGTGAGCCGGAAGTTTCACGATGATTTTGCTCGTCGATCGATTTAACGGATAAGAGACACACGTGACGTCCTGCCGGTACTTATAATTACGTGTTGCGCTTGTAGTGGCCAAACTGCATGGGCTTAATGAAACGCGTTGCATATCGACGGAATGGGTTGGTACCCGTGGTATTTTGATATGGGACGAGAAAATAGCCTTGGAAAGTTTTGGACATGTCGTCACTTTCCAAAGAGGATTATTGTATAATTTGAAAGTATTATCAGGTTGTACAGCCTGATTGATTTTCTTTTTTCTTTTTTTTTATATTTTTTTATCTAGACAACGAAACGCTTGATTTGATGAAATATTAAATAGAAAAGCTGATGACGTTATGGAGCCTTTGAATTTTTCGAAATATGGCAGCAGCCTCGAACGTCGAGTATTCAAAGTTAGGTAAAGATCAATTTGAATTTAAAAAATAAAGAAAAAACAGGAAGAACAGTACATCTTGAAAAGGCATATTAATGTTTGTACAGATTTTAAACGAACGTCTGAGAACAACACTCGACTGAATTGTGAAATTCAATGTACTTTCCCATAACTGAAATGATATTGAATAAAATATTTTCAAAAAAAAAAAACTTCCCACGCTATTCTCAACAGTTACGATTCTTGAATAAACGTTGAGATACGTAGTATCATTCTTAATGATTTTTGCTTCGACCTTGTTAAAAATCTTGTAAAACCCATCCGATACAATTAACAAGCTCATATCGATTCATCAGAGCCAATATGTATCAATATTGTTCGTTACTAAAAAAAAAAGCGCATGACGCACAGGTAGCTCCCAATGTAAATTTTTCATCCGATATACGTATCATCGTAAAGGTACACAAGATTTCTTACACGCATCTGTCACTAATCAACATGTCCATCTCGGCTTACACGAATCCTCGCGGCAACGTGATCCATAGATCCATAGATCCATGACAGATCGTTACCGTTACGAGACACACGTATACCGATACGGTACACATGAGTAGAGAACGATTGAATGGAAAAAAGAAATCTAATCTTGTCGGTTAGTCGCGAGCGAATAAAATTTGGTTTTTCGAGTTTTTAGGTAAAATTCAAAATTAAGCAAAAAAAATTGTACTGTAATAGTAAAATTGAAAAATATTATGTTCCATAAATGTTTCCATTGAAATGTCACACTTTCGTTTGGTAACGATATTGTCATTGCCGATTGTGGGCCTCGGGCCCCTTTTCTCTCCCACCCCTTTAGATACTCCCGACATTCCTTTCCTTGCAGCCATTGGTAGGCTCACGTATCTACTTTCTGCTTTGTACAGAGAACAGACAGAAAACCAAGACGGATGGTGCAATTAGCTGGAATCGTGAGCCAGACTCTTGGTGTCCCATAAGTTATGGCCGCCTTGTTATGGCGTCGAGTTGTCTATATAAATTCCCATTATTGCTCTAGTTTTTCCTGCGTCTTTACCTTTGACGTCGATGCTATTTTCAAATTGGTGGAAAAAGCGTGTTTGACGCTCGGCGACAAAATTTGGAATTTGGGATTTTCTACTGCTGGAAAAGGGAATGACGAGTGTGATTGTGGTTGGCAAAAATTCGAAAAAAAAAAAAAAAAAGTTATTGGGTAATTCAAAAATGACAATTGCGAATCAATCATTCCGTAACTAGTTATCAGGCCCAGGGCTAGTCTCTGGCTCTACTCTCTAGTTTATTGAATTAATCTGATTAGAACTCAAAATTGAATCTGCCGCGTGAAAGGACCAATGATGGACGTGAAACGCGATCGGCATTGTAGCGTAAGAATTAATTTTCTCTCGCTCGAGCGTAGTGGCAGCACTGTAAGTAAGCGAAAACGTACGGGAAGTTGGTTACGTTTACTTTTAAATCGTGGGTGTCGATTCCGGATCGGCAGGAAGTTTAGAAGCCGGCAGGTTGGTACCGCCGCGATGTTTTATCCGTTAAATTGAAAGTACCTAAAGGACGTTGAACCGTCTTGGAAATATTTTTTATAACATTGGTACAACAGCCAGCAATTAGAGTCCCATAATTCTGTCCTATGAAATTAATTTTTCACAAATATTTCAATTACTTTATCGATATATTTTTTTTTTCAAGTTATTTCGAACCGTGAAAAAACTTTTTTTAAATTTCTATTCAATGCCATCGCTCGGTATTTGTTATTTAACTTTCAACATTGATACATTCCTTTTACTCTAATTGGGTTTTTTTTCGATTACTAATTGCTCGCCGTATAAAATTACGAAGGTTTTGGTTCGATTATTCTCAATATTAACCGACGAAAGTGTCTGTCGGTAGTTTACTAATTAGGAGCTGTGTTCACTTTGCATGCTATATTTCACTTTCGAGTTCCACATAGGCGAGCCTTCGAGAAGGTCGATACCAAGTCGGCAAAGTAACGTAGGAGCCAAAGGAACCGGTCGCGCGAGAATCGATTTTGAAATTTGGATTTTTCTTCACGGTCACAGCTAAGCGACATCCAGTTACTGACGGTATAAGCGTACATTCTAGAACCAGTATGGAAGCAGTGCTTTAAATTCGCGAATTTTCGAAATCGCAAAAACTAAGCATCGTAAGTGGAATGAAAAAAAAAAAAAAAAAATTGAAATTTCGAAAAATATTTTTCTTATTTTTCACCAAATTTTCATCGGTCCCTACCAGCAAGGCCGAGTATAATAAATCTATGCCTGGAGGCCGTTGAGCGATCGTCACTAAAGTTACACTTGACAATCGATGAAAGATAATTGGATTTTAGTAAATTCTTAGAAAATAAACTATTTTGCAAATCTTTTTTTTTACGCATAAAATAGACAATTTGGATTAGAAAGCATCTCGGCGAATTTACCTGTTTCGTAGAGAACTGCGGGACGCTGGTGGTAAAATATTTCCAGTAATATTATTATTGATATTGGCATTTCGGATGCTGCGCTGATCGGCGGAAGTTCTGGGTAACCTGGGACTTCCTGCCAGGGCGAAGCCCAAAATGCAAGCGGTGAGTACCGCTCTCCTCATGTTAACAATGGTCTTTCCACTTCCCTTGCTCGATCTTTTTACTCTTGAACACACTTTTCAATAAACCGTCCCTTCCTATCGGACTAGGTTAAACAGATTTTTAACCGATTTTTAATCCGGCTGATTTTTATCCTCGTGTGCTTTTTTTTTAATCCTGTCACGCGTCCTTTGACAAAATTCAGTCCTACCGCGGCTCTCCTTATTTAGTCTTGATATCTTTTTATTATTTTTCTTTATTTAACACGGGATCACGATCGGACCGGTATTCAATAAATCCCGATCGGTTCGCGCGTCTTGTTCTTGTCCTTGTGGCTTTTTAAACACTTCAGAACCTTCTACTCCCCTTTCAGTCACGTATTTTATTTTTCGATGTTGCACACACTGATGGCTGCTTAATGACAATACTCCATGTGGATTAACACCCGTACAGGTACGGCTGTACAGTTGGTAAAATACATGATCGATGACCTTGCCGATAACTAGATTCTTTAAGTAGCTTTACTTCAAACTTGACTTTCTTGTTGGTTTCGTTGCCTTCATGTATTCCTGATACCGATTTCCTTGTCTGCTTATTGCATATGGTTTCTGTCACGAGCACTTCGCTCTACACAAAACAAACCAAAAAATCGTTATCTCTGTGATCGCCGAAAAACTTTTCGTTGACGCGAAAGCAGAACCGAAAAAAAAAAAAATTATCAAATTTCAATTAAACGCTCGTAAATACGAATACCGATCGTTGAAAATTTCAAAGTACCAAAATCGTTGGACGTAACGATACAGAAAAGAAAAAGAAAAGTATAAACCAAAACACAGATGACATAAAAATATCAAAAACACTGAAATACACACAGCACGTAAAAATGGCATAAAACGCAAGAAAGATCGTTTCACAAAAACTGTCAAAAATTAAATATGACGAACGATGACTTAATTATTTTCGAAAATATAACACAAAAATTAATTCAAACCGTCCAACGATTTTTCGCGCGCGTCATTTCGGTACGATCCGAAAATCGTTTAGAATTTTGCGCTCGAGGCGCGCTTCCGTAACGAAAGAGAAGAAAGAAAAGAAAATGTAAAATTTCAAAGTAATCCAGCGTCTCGAAAATTCGAGAAAACTCGAAATTCCACGAAGGATCCTCAAAATTGAAATTCCTCCAACGATCTTCGCTCGATTCTCTTTCACAAACTTTAGGGCCCAATCACTCGCTCACGACGAGAGACTGTAAATATCGGATTGCTCGCTGAGCGTGATCCGTCCGTAGACTCGGCGGCTGGCAAAGTGTCTGTCCGTCTGTCCCAGCGCTGGTCTCACCGTGGTGGTAAAGTCTGGGCAACGTGGGGCACCGACGTAGTCCCCGTTCGCGCTTACCGGGACACCACGGGCACGCGTTCTCAGTCAACTAAGACTTACTTTCACATAAGACCATGCCCGGCTCGAATAGTGGGGCATACTGGAATACAAGCGCTGCGTGGAGAAGGTGCCACCCAAAATTTTGTGAAACTCATGGCGAAAGATTAAGAAAAAAGTGACAAAATTTTTTGAAAAAAAAAAATAAAACACTCATCCTTTCACAACTTTTGCAACTAAACACACGCAATTACATAACGGACGAGGGTCGAGTATGAAACTGATGCACATAATCGATCAACACTAAAAGACTGAACACGTGTTAAAAAAATTTCAAAAATATTATCATATTTACAGTTTGGCAAAACCAGTTGAATCGCATACAGGATTTTCTCATGCGTTCTCAAAAACGAGCTATCCGGACCGATTGCCAGTGTCAAAGGACCGTGTAACAAGATCAGTTGTGGTCCACGTGCGATGCTGTACCGTAAGAGGAAAAGTGACTTAGAAAGGCTGGCTTGTAAATATCCTATTGGTATTCATCGAAGGCCACGCGTTACGCGTGTAGGTACCGTAATCAGTAAAGTCATGTAAATCGATAAAAAAAATAATTTTCATCAAACTCATACGATACATACCGATCTATCTAAAAACCACAGTCCAGAACCTCGAAGTCAAAGGAAATAAAGCAAAAGTGAAAAAAAAAATAAAAATCCGCTGTACAAAGCGACGATTTTTCAATGACTGTTCGAAATCACTAATAGTAGTTCGCAGGTCTGCTTGGGGTCATGAATCGGCCAAGTTAATTCTCCGGATGACGTGCCACGTACAGATCCGATACACCTGGTGCTGCCAAAGGTCATGCCGAGATCAGGTGATTGACCTCGAGAAATGATCATGGGATCGGATGGGTCTGCCGTGGCGTCTGGAGTCAGTGAGTTCAGGGGCATCGTTACCTGCGATGACTAAGCCATTATTCTGCCTGGCAGGAGTTCAGCAGGGCATCGGGGTAAACGATCCCTTATATCAGAGTGACCCAATGGGCTCGCGGAATCGTTGGCTGACGTAGCGATTGGATATGCGGGACCGTTAATGACTAATTAATGATTGCATAAGTCAACGGTAAGAAATGGCTGTTGCGTAACCCAAAGTTCATTAGTACCAATGATAATAGCCAATTGTCAACAGTGCAAAGTCATACGTGTATCACGTAACGCGTTACAGATTTTCGAAAGGACTAAATTTCAATCTACATTTAATTGCGCAATTACCTGCTCGAGTAATTGGTAGACGGTGGTGCAACGATTATTTATATAAATTCGTCGACAACTGCAATTGCACCCTGCACTTTTGTATTAACAATCGAATAAGTGTTTTAACACTTTCGATTGTTCGCGTTAACATCATTCTTATGCAAGTTGCTTATTGCGGATATATATATATATATATATATATATATATATATATATATGATCCCACGTAATATCGGCAAGTGCCTCAGGGGCTACGTTGCCAATTCGGCAATGATTCAGCATGTCTACCTGTCCCGAAGCTGTCGACAAGTGACCCTTAGGAAAGCTGGCAACAGCCCAAAGAAAAAGGAACCCTTGGAAACGGGTTTGCAGGTAGAAACCGCCATTCCCTGGCGAGGACTACGTGCGTCATGGACACCGAGAAGAATTTAGTGCTCCAAAGGAGCCACACGGATATCTCATGATCATGCTACATTGTAGCGGTCCAGCATGCTGCAGCATCTGCTTGAGAATTCACAAGGCAAGAGTATATTGGAAATAAAAATAAACAGTAACACGTGACAACGTCATTAAGGCCTGCACGCTACGGTAGAAGCAGTGATGCACGCTTTGAGAAATTTTTCGCGATGCATTGCACTTGATTAAAAACCCACGAAGGAATTTGCATTGTTAAAAAAAAGAATTCGCAACACCGATAACCAGCAGATGCGCGGTATTAGAAAATGTCGATAAAGTTTAAAAAAATAACCCATAACATCGTCAAGACATGTATAGCAGAAGCAGTGCTGTTACGTAGATACTATGGTAAAATTCAATAAAATTCAGTGTGACAATACATCGGGAATCAACCTGCGTTACCTTTGGCCGTCCGACGTTACGGAAATGCACGGCCGCTCAGGCGGCTAGGTTGAGCTAGAGAGGGTCGGAGTAAGAGTCAGGCAAATTCGAACGATTCGGACGTATCAAATCGAAATCCCTTCACCAATTGATAAATTGGGAGACTCACCGGAGCTGGTGCAGCTGATCCGTGAAGGCCGAGAACCGCATCCAGGAGACACTCGGGTGGGCACTGCACTAGGACACGACACTACACCTCCGGAACACTCACAGAAAATCCATAGAACTTCTTGGATTTCGCGAGAGCAACGCGAAAACTGTACGAACGAAAACTTGCTATACGGTATTGAAACACGGTTAGAAAAACTATCAACAAATAGCACGGGAGCGCGAGCCAGCTCGTGACCCCTCGGTCGGTGTCCCGAGACAGACTGCTTTGACAAAATAGCCAAATTCGAGAACTAATCATTCTGATCATCTGATTGGTCGAGATCCTTGTAGCCGATAACTCTTCCATCTCCCTCGGGTCGTCCCTTTAAACCAAATCGAGAGCGTTCCTTGGCGAATCCGAGCGATGAAAAAGAAAAAAAAAATCAGTCATTCATCCGTTGCACCGTGTACTTTTCTGATTGATGCAGGATACGGGTAGCCGCTGTGTATGCCGCTTTACATATCATATACGCAATGCAATTGTTTATTATATAATTTCCTCGTTCCGTATTCGCAGTGAATAATGAATCCGTGGGAAGTAACGTTAACTATGTTGTGCACACTGGCAATCGACTACCGATCGTAAACCTGTTACCGCTGTATTGCATATTGTTCCCTTTGAAATTGGTTGGAATTTTAAATGCACACAGAGAACCACAACAGGACCAGTACACACTATAGTTGGGGTCCGACTGCAATTTCAAAAGGAATCGATCTTTTTAGTAATAACTTGTAATACCGATCGGATCCAGAATCTGCGATTACAAAGTCCTTGTTATATTACGACTGCCATATCATTAAGGTCCGTGCACACCGGAGTCACGAATTTCTTAGTCTTTTCTACCGCTTGCGAAATATACGTTTGCTAGTGAAACGAGATTATAACCGCGAATTTCACTCTGATCGGTATTTATAGTAAGTAAATAAAAAATTATATAAAATATGTAAAATACTAAATATCGTTACAACCTTCCTGTCTACTATCTATCCTTTACCAGTGAGCACTTCATTCCAGTATCCACGTACGCTACGCATACCGGCGATCGTACCGGTTTCGACTTTGCACGTTGATATATTCATTCGTACCTGTAACGTCTGTATCGCAGGTGAAAAAAACAAAAATAGGTTTGACACGTGTTAATTTAAATCCCTTGCCGATCTGAGAAAATGGGAGTAAAAGTTTGACAGTGAAAGCACCCAAGTGCATCGTGGGGGCAATTAAAATAATCATTAACCGGATAGGATCGCGCATGAGCAATGAAGCGTGCACGATAGTGCACACTACGATTTTCCTTTACCGATAAAATTTGACGAAAGTAGAAAATGGCGTTATGACTTATAGAAATAATAAATGGCAAAAGTGATTGCTCAACAAAAATCGATATTTATTTTTATTGCACTGAAACAACTGGAAATACTATTTTATATTATAAATCATCTCGTGATATGATTTTATCGGAATCCTTCCAACACCTACGAAAGAGTCCGCGCATAATTGTCGATGCGTGGCGAGCCTGACGGAATTCCACCAAGTTTGAAAAATCTTATGAACGGCCAGCAAATGTTACCCAACTGTTGTGCACTGTCCATATGGGTGTACTCTGGATTTTATTAGTGTGAACTGGTACGGGCAACCGAGGCATATGTGTGTCTTGGCCGTTCTCGTGGTCATAACAGTATTGCACACTGTTGTTGTTATTATTATGGCGTATATCTACAGTACTTTATTGTCGATCGCGTTGGGCGAGCCTTAAGGTCCGCAAGAGAGGCTTCGACATTATTGGAGTAAGGCTGTATCGCAAATTGCGACTCTCCGAAGAGAATGGTCGCCTTTCAATGCCGCGAACGATGCTTCCATTCGTAGATATATATATATATTCTTGGCGTTATATAGATGTATAGTATAGAGTAGCGTAAGAGATTATATAGAGATTATTAAAGAAAGATTTTGTAATTGAAATTAAATCCGCTGAGAAGAAAATTTTTTACCGGCCGTCGGTAAGTTAGGAATTTTATTACCGGCTGAAATCATTAGCTTAAACTAGGTTACAATTGTTTTATGCGCGCAATTATGATACGTGTGCATTGCTTCACGGAATTTATGCCCGTCCATTTATCTACAGACATACCTGAAAGCTCGTGACTGATTTATGAATTTATAATGATTATTTTGCGTTCTGGATTTTGAATTTTTATTTCCTTATCATTCCCATTTAATTGCTTATATCTGTTATAGAATTTGTAGAATTATTTTCACGCATCGTTTCCTATATGGGTGAAGTCGAGAAAATCGTGAGCCACTCGGTGCAATGTAATCGAATGCCTGAAGCACTACCTAGACTCGAACCTGACTTTGCACTGTATACTTGGTCTTGACGTCAGAAAACTGGATCAATTGGAAAATAAACGCGCACCTCGCCCTCGCGTAATCCACGATGCGTGCCCAAGAGGCACTGTAATTAAATGCAGTGCTATGATTATTAACCTGAATATTTTCATATTCGTCATTGATCCCCTTAAAGCAATGTACGACGACTGCATAATGACGATTCCAATGATTTCACGAAGTCTCAATACTTCAGAAAATCAATCGCAGTGCATTTAAAATAACGAATGGAATGTATTCCCAGAAAAAAATTATTCGCACTAAAGATTATATAATTTAAAAAAAAAAAACGATTCCCCCAAAGTATAATACAAAAATTTGGTTTACCATACAAAAGTAAAAAATTTCCATTGAACTTCGCGCGATCCTCTAAGTCGTAAACCGGAAATAAGATGATCGCCTATCCCGCCGGAAATGCCGTTTCACGGATCGGAACGAAACGATGGAACTTTAATTAGAGAAATGACCGCTAACTTAAATACGTCACGCGATTAAACGTTTAGCCAGCGGGTCTAAAAGACATACAGCGCTTGCCTTTCTTTCCAGGTATCGTCAAAGGTAAATTGGCTCGTACGAAAATTACGAGTCACGAGACTCAATGACTCAAGTCTCGAGATTCGAAATATTTGTCAGTGACCACAGGAATCCCTGGAACTCTCGCTAAAATGCCGGAACAGGATATAATCATTGTACGAGATAGCGGTGAAATAATTTCTACAAAAATTTCTCATTTCTCATCCTTATCTTTCTTGTCTTTGCTTTCTTTCTTGATTTCAAGAACCAAGAGTATCCTTAAGGAATTCCATTTTTTTTCTCCCCTTTTCTTTCCCCTTTTCACAACTTTCAATACCGTCCACATAATTCTCTAGCGGACCTCGTGAATCTTCCGATACTCGTTCTCTTGAGTACGAATTATCCAAAATAGTGACCTCTTGACATCTTACGTTCGTGCGCACACGTTTCTGCGCATACACTACCGTCCAATGCGAAAAGTCTCAAAGGCCATGACAAACGACGCATTAACTCAGCCATACGCAGAAACAAGGTGCGTACACAATCGAGCCTGTCATGTCTTAAACGCGACGCGTAATGCGTGCGCGTTAAGTGGAGAAAACTTAAGTGCCGTAACGAGTACTTGATGACGAGCGTAACTGAAGCCTCGAAGTATCCGAACAAAGATTCGCAACGATTGCCGTTAATTGCGGTGAAAATATTTTTTTTTCAAAAATCCAAAAAAATCGTTAATCGAAAAAAGAGTAGCTTTTAGCTAAACTGCTAGGCTAACTGACGATCCATTATAAAATGATCAGCTAGGAAAGATTGCTGCATATAAATAAATTTTTTATATTTTCACCAGTGATATTTTTTTTTATCACAGATAAGAATTAAAATATGAAATTCGAAAATACGACTTTTTACCCGAGTCATTTTTTCTTATCGTGATCAACTAAATCCCTGGGCTTTTTAATTCTTTCTTTAATCACTACTGTCGAAGCTATTCGGTTTTGATGACTCGGCTAATTTAATGGGATACGATCGTTTGATAGGATTCGGTATCGACCTAGATACCAGATCTATTCCCACGTTTATGCTAGCCACTTATGTCAACTTTAAGTACGTATTTATTAGCGTGAAACAATTGCAATCTTTCACTTAGCCATTGTACTGCCTATATAAAGTATTACGTGCCGTAAGATTTTCTTAACGTAAGACTTTATGTTAAATATCATTGAAACGTGTAACAGTCATTTCTCACAGTAATTTCAATTCGTTTCATTAAATCGCGTTAACAATAATAATTAATCCCACGATCTCTTTGTCTATTTTAATTGGCGTCGCCTGTACGTTCAATTGTGAAATACCTTGTATACGCGCGCGTCGAGCGGGTTGCCGTTGCGCAGGGGTTTATTATTTGTATGGCAACAGTTGGACGGACATTAAATAATTATTAAAGATTTTCGTATTCGTGCAGTATGTGTTATAAGGATTTACGGAGAAATTGATCTTTAATTCGTCGATAATTGACAAAAATTTTATTTATACAGAATATCACCTGAACCATTGACAAGTTTTGTTTTTGTTTTGTATGTCAAACAGTAAACTAGTGTCATCGATTTTACTGTGTCCTTTTGAGCACGAATTTGGAAACTAATGATTTGATCTGCTGTTTGGTTTCTAGTTGAATAACAAAATTTTGATGAAAAAAAAAAAAGGTTCACCTCGGAGAAATACGTTGGGCCGAGAAAGGCGATTTAAGCTTGAGGTACGATTTTCGATGATTCTCGTGTCAAGAGCCAACGTGTGAGGAGTCATCGAATTTTGACGAATTTTATATTAATTATAAATTTAATTTATTTGGATTGTGATACAAAGTGTCTTTGTTGTGTATTTTATTTTAGACGATTCTTTTATTGAATTAAAATTTACGTTAAAAGAGGTAAACTACGTATGAAATTAATAATTGTAGTCACGTAAAAGTTTACCGGAGCCTTATCGGGAGTCGAGTCATTAATTTTGTTACTGGTGATGTTTTTTAATAAAATGGGGATAAATTAGTCCTACCTCGAATTCAATATTTCGATATTTCATTCTGTATTTAAAAATGCAATTTTGTTGTCATGTACAGCACGATTTTATCATTTAAAAAAAAAAATGCAATCTTCCCAACACTGTCCCGAGGCGTACATGGACCAGGAAATACATGTGGATTATTTGGAAGAACACTTAAACGAAATTGCCAAAAAGTTGAATATCGAAAGACCACGTTTTAGAGTGACACGAGGAGCAAAAGTGGGACAGTATTTTATAGGGGATATTTTTCGTGTGATCGTCAAGGGATCGCGGGATGAAAAAATATGCGAAATTCACGTGATATTGAAATGTGCACCGCGCGATCCAACGCGACAAGAAGCGATGGACTCGACACCGATTTTTCCACGAGAAATAATGTTTTATCAAGAAATAGTACCGATTTTCGTAAATCTGCTAAAGGAGTACGACATGGTTTTGGAAAATATACCAAAATTTTATGGCGCAAGCGCAATTCAGACGAGAGAGGTAATTTTTGAATATGCATATACCAAATACGTATTTTTATATCCATTGAAGGATCCGATTTTGGCAGTGAGAAAAAAACATTATTTTTCAACGAAATCTAATAATAATTTAATTTTTCAGATTATATTTATGGAGGATTTGAGTGAAAAAAATTACACCTGTCGCGATCGTCTCAAACTATTGGATTATTCTCATGCGTCTCTGGTCATGCGAGAGCTCGGTCGTTTGCATGCGTACAGTTTTGCGCTGCGCGAGAAAAAGCCTGAAATTTTTCAAAAATTCAAAAAAATCCACGACGTATTGTTCACGGTCAATTCACACGGTACCGACGTGTTTTTGAATCGGTTGCGCGAACTTCAGAGAATCGCATTGAAGGTAATGTAAAAAAAATTTTGGTTTCACAAAAAAATCTTTCTTTCTCTTTCCTCAGAGTATAAAGCAAGAGGGAAACATTTACGCTAAGAGAATTCGAAAGTTTACTTCGAGTTTTTGGGAAAAAATGTCCAACGCTTGCAACGGGAACCTCGTAGAACCATATGCAGTGATTTGCCACGGGGACGCGTGGACCAATAATTTCATGTTTAAGTACGAAGATGAGGTATTTGAAAAATTTTTTTTTAAATTCATTATTTTTTCAAAATTTAATTCTCCCAATCTTTTTCAAATTTCATACCACCTCAAGCCAAAGAAGAAACCGATATCGATGTACTTTTTGGATTTTCAAATGTGCCGCTACGCAACGCCCGTCACTGATTTGACGTACACATTGTTTTGCTGCTGCAACCAAGAGACCAGAGCTCGATACTACAAACAACTGTTGTCAGATTATCATCGCTCGTTGTCCGATTTTTTAACAAGATTCGGCTGCGATCCCGAACTTTTATTTCCCTATGACGAATTGACAAAGCAGCTTCGGAAATTTGGTTATTTCGGCCTGGGCATGGCCATCTTCACTTTGCACGTTTTTACAAAGGTGGACGCCGACGTTAACACGGTATCAAAAACGCACAAGGATGTCGTAGAAGCCGAGGAAAGATTGGACACTGATATCCTGTACAAAAGTATGCTGGTCGGTGCGCTGGTGGACGCTGTCGACATGGGTTATATCTGATAAAAAATTTTGATAAGCAAATTTCATTGATAGTCACTTTTTGAATTTTATTTTTAATGTAAAGCTGAGCGCCTGCGCGTTAAAATGCCCATTATTTTATATCGGTCCTTGAGTGTTTTTCCAATCTAATCTTAATCATGTAACTAGTTTATTTAATCGGTGGATTGACCCCCACTTCGACGAGAACAAGCCTCCTGTTCCCAGATGATTGATCCATTTTATTCTGTATAAATAAAACTCGAAATTTTCATACGTCATATTTTTCAGTAGAACATTTTTTTTTCAAATCTCAAGCCACCTACGGAATAATCCAGCAATGACGTTTAGTCTCCATATGCATACCGATGGCGAAAAAATCGAAGAGAGACTGACGAGTGATCTATTTTTCAAAAACATTCGTCAATTCTGTTGACAAGAATTACTTATGATTGTCATAGGTGATACTGAAATTTTTTTTTTGTTTTTGACAAATGTAACATGAATCTACAAACAACGTAACCGCGCGAGACATCGGTTTGCACGCGTATACTTTTTTTTTGGATTCTTTCTTTGTAATTTTTATATGAACGACTTTTCTCGACTGTTCGTACACGAAAAAGAAATGGTCACGCTGTCAATATAACTTTTTGATACAGTTATAGAATCGAATTGTTATCACTTAAAAATTACATATATTTTATTCACCCGTTAAGTGTTAGCTCGATAAGTGCTTCGCCTCTCCTCTGATCGCTGGCTTATCTTGCTGTTTGGGGCATTCGAATGATCCCCAATCAAGCAGGCTGTTCGATAGGGACAGAAGAATTGCGTGTTTGGAAAACAAGAACAATGGAATTCTGATAAAGATCTTTAAAAAACAATTGGCAACAGCTATCGTTGGTGCCGATAAGAAAGTTCACATAATACAAGATAAAATGTTGCATTGGTTGTTAGATAATAGAAAAACCGTAAGCCTGTGTAAAATACGATTGCTAGTTACCAACTAACTGAACTAGACTAAAAAAATTAATTTCGAGATTCAGCGATTTTATTTCGTACAGAAGCTGCACGCGCAGTCGAATCCACGAGTGACACGTGGTTTTATTTTTTGACAGATCGAAAAGCAACAAAGTCTCAAGCACGTGGCTCTGTGTACAATTTTGACGGCAATATATGTATTATATTACATGCCCAATTTATGCCCAGACTACCGTATCTACCTCAGTAATCACCACTTGACTCATTCCAAACACCCAGTTATCTTCCCACTTGCCCTTGAACCCATTCACTATAAAATTGCGATAACGCCTGATAATAAAATTTCGGCACCCTCACGAATCCCTAATCCCTTGAGCATGCGGATTTCCGAAATAAAAACGTCATGCCCGGTACTACTGATTTCTTCAAGGCTTTGTCGCGCAGTCTGATCCACGTTGTACTTTGCTATTTTAAATTAATTTAAATTAGTAAACTATAAATTTGTAAACAAGCAATTTCTTACGAGGAAAGGTACTCCTTGGAATATATTTCGAAAATTTAAATCCGAGTCTCTAGATACATGATTTTCTATTGAAATATATTTAACTTTTCATAATTTTCCATACGTTTACGTAAACCCATGAAAAACTACGTGTGGTTTGCTGAGGATTAGAATGATTTGAAACTTTCAAAAAATCATACTGTACTCGTCCACCGACTGTAGATGAATGCGCGCGCATGTTCCAACTGCTATAATATCTACGTCCTTGACTAGAATTCTTGCCTAATCATTATGATGAGTGCATTGTCTCAGTTGGCATTTAACTCAGGTTGATACTTGGTCGATCTGCTGAATATTCTGTGTAGATAAAGTTCTTAAATTTCATACTCCAACTATATCTAGATTCACGTATCGGACGATTCTTTGGCTTCGTATTATTTGTTACGCGTGCAGCGATACACGGTGATCAAGCATGGCGACGGATATATCGCAGGAGCATCGAAAGAGTGAGCGCGAAAATGAGCTTTTGGAGGAATTGAAGAAAATAGCAAAAAACGTTAATTACGCGAATCCACGTTTCCACGTGTCCCCGGGCTCGGCGAAGGGAGACAACATATTTGGCGACATATATCGCACGACGATCGAGGGAGAGAAGGACGGAAAATTGGAAAAATCATGCTCGATCATAAAGTGCGTCCCTGAATTACAATATCTAGAGGAAGTAATTAAAGTGTCCACGGTGTTTCAGCGTGAAATAATGTTTTATCGAGAGATCGTGCCAATATTCAAAAAATTATTGCAAGAACACGATTTCGAATTGGAGAGTATACCAAAATTTTACGGTGCCGACGACACCCCGAATAAGCAGGTAATGAAAATGTAAAAATAAAATGAAAAAAAGGAAATATGAAAAATTCGAAAATTTCTATGTATTTTATTCTTTTTTTTTCCATTTTCCTCAAGATCATCATCCTCGAGGATTTACGCGAAAAACAATACGAGCTTCGCGATCGCCTTAAGCTTCTCGACTATCCGCACGCTTATTTGGCCCTTCGGGGTCTTGGTCGCTTTCATGCGTACAGTTTTGCATTGCGCGACAAGCATCCAGAAATTTTCAAAAAAATTCAATCCATCGAAGATACGATGAGTGAAGCAATAAAGAATCCTACCGAACTGATGACGAAATTTCAGGAAGGAATCACGGCTCTCGCATTGAAGGTAATTTAACGGGGAAAAAAAATGAAAATAATTAAAAAATCAGGATTTTCATCTAAAAAAAAATTTCAGAGCATAAGTCACAAGGACCCGTATTATGTTCAAAGAGTAGAAACATTTTTGGAAAATATACTACCGAAATTAATCGAGGCTTCCGACGGCAGCTTTGCTGAACCCTATGCGGTTTTATGTCACGGGGACGCGTGGACGAACAATTTTTTGTTCAAATACGACGACGAGGTTTGCTGTTTTTCTTTTTTTTTTTTTCAAAATTATCTCAGTTCCAAAATTTCGTAAATTTATCAGCCGTATTTACGTTTCAGGCGAAAACCAATCCGACGTCGATGTACCTTTTGGATTTTCAAATGTGTCGATACGCGTCGCCAATCATCGATATCATGTACACTCTGTTCTGTTGCTGCAGCCAAGAAACAAGACGCGAGCATTACGAACAATTGCTGCAGGATTATCACGAATCGCTGTCCAGTTTTTTGCAGCAATTGGGATGCGATCCGGAAGTTTTGTTTCCTTATGAGATATTTCAGCAACAAGTTAAAAAGTACGGTTATTACGGGCCGACAATGGCGCTGTTTACTCTCCATGGGCAAACCGACGCCACCGGTGAGTTTGGGAATATGATGGACGTGAATTTCTGTAAAAAACTCGAAAAGAGACTGGAGACCGATCGATTATTCAAAAACATGATGGCCTCTGCGTTCATAGACGCCGTTGACAAGAATTACATATGATTTTAAAAGTGACACCGTTAAAAAAAAATATTTCTGTATTTTCTTCAATCTACACATAACTCACGCTTAACCATATACGATCCAACTTGTACATGATTTCGCATTTTTGTTCCTTATATCAGTAACCTCATCGACAGTTCGTATGCGAAGATAAGGTATGGAAAAATTGTCATTCTCGCCTTACGTATTATCAGTTCGGAGATCCATCACATCGTCATCCTTATCAGCGATATAAGGATTATACATTAATTACCTTAGATATATGTATACATATATGTATATATCAATGTTATGAAATATCAGATACATCTATCAGAATATAATTATGTTACATAAAATCAATGAGACTGATTATTACCCGTTAGAATTCCAGTGGTGACTGACAAAAAATTATCCAAAAATTCCGAACGGCGCTTGTCTTAATCCATAGCGCTGAAATGTTTTTTTTTTTTAATATGAAGTTTCAACAGGGCGCTATCGCCGCTTGGGACTCGAATGGTTAATATCAATTGAAAATTCGAAGATTGATTATCATAATATAAAAATAGTAAATACATTGAACAATTAAAATACGTAATCGAGTAAGACAAGTGACGAATTTCGTGAAATTAGCAATTCGTATCGATTGTCCGGAAAGAGAAAATACGGTGAACGAGTAACGTTTTTTTTTCAAATTAGTCAACCGTCGCCTTTCCGTTTCCGATCGCCAGTGCCGCAACTAAACGGCATTGTCTAATAACCTAACCTAACGAAATGGAACTGAGCAACCAAAAAACATTCCCACTTTCCTCAGGCGTCCTTAGATTCGTAGGGTCGATTTCGTCGTAGCGTCGACTTTCGGTCGAAGACCACGAGGTTAGTGGTAAACTAGGCTAGTGGGTTGTAGTATATATATTTTGGAAATTGGAGTAAAAAAAAGCAAGTAATTTTTGAAAATATTTTCGTGAAAAAAAAAACATCCACGACGGAACTCACGAAGGAGAAGAGCTACGGGACAGTAAGTGAAATGGACCACGCGGAAAGTCATCTCGTGGAAATAGCGAAAAATGAAAAATTGGCAAATCCGCGTTTTCGCGTGAGGGAGTACCCGCGCAAGGACAATTTTTTGGGTGAAATTTTTCGCGCATCGATGAAGGGTCGAAGGAATGGAAAATACGAAAAGATTCGTCTGGTGCTCAAGTATTCGTCGCGGGAGGAATCGCACAGATTAATGTTCACGTTATTTCCGGCCTATCTTAGGAAAATAAAGTTTTATCGGGAAATCGTGCCAATTCTCAAGGATCTCCTGGCAGAGTATCGCTTAACGTTGGATAACGTACCAAAGTTTTACGGAGCAAGTTCAGTAGACGAAGTGGAGGTAGCGAGGTTCGAAATACCGTGAAACAAGGACCTCGAAAAATACGGGTAACCTGGAGCGTGCAAAATTTTGATCTTCTTTCCAGATTCTCTTTCCGGAGGACATGCTCGAAAAAAGATACGAAAATCGCGACCGTCTGAAATTACTCGATTATCCACACAGGTCGATAGCCGTCAGGAATCTAGCTAAACTGCACGGCTATGGTTTCGTATAGCTTGGAAAGAAACTCGAAATTTTTTAAAAAATTCAAAATCTCGAGGACATAATGTTCGTGGGACCTTTTGGAAAAAAATCAAAACTTCTCAACACGTCTGAGACACCTTTGCAACGTGGCCGTGCAGGTGACGTCACTCCAGGTAAAATAATAATAAAAAGCCAAAAAAATTTTTTTTTTCAAAATTTCACAGAGCATCGAAAATGTCGACCGACGTTACGTCGACAAACTTCAAAATTTTCTCGACGACTTTCCCTCGAAAATTGCCAAAGCCTGCGACGGTAACCTTGCCGAGCCTTACGCGACGCTTTGTCACGGCGACGCATAGACGTCGAATTCTTTGTTCAAATACAAGGACGAGGTAGACTGTGAAAAATACTAATTTTCAATAAAAAAAATTTCTAATTTTAACTAAAAAAATTTGTTTTTCAGAATAAAACAAAACCCACCCACATGTACTTCGTGGACTTTCAACTGTGTCGATGCGCCGCGCCAATCACCGACCTGACATACATGATATTTTGTCGCTGTATAGCAAAGAAACTAGAGATCGATACTACGATCGATTGCATCAAGATTATTACGAATCTCTCTCGGACACCTTATGAAAAATGGATTGCGATCCGGAAACACTTTATCCGATAAGCGCTTTTGAGGATCAACCAAAGAAATTTGGTTGCTTTGGAACCGGAATGGCAATCACGACCATACAACTATTCACCAAAGTTAACGCAACGCTTGAACCCACCGATCTATATTTCGAAAGGGAAGATCTAGTAGATCGATTAAAAACCGATAACGTATACAGAACCATGTTAGTGGATACGATAAAGGACAGCGTGGACTACGGTTACACACGATCATTATGAATTTGACAAATATATAAAAAAAATATATTTTCTTTGCAATTATCACTAAAGTGTATTATCTGTCTTAAATTAAATTAAATCGATCGATAACGTTCGAAGGATCATTATTATTATCCCAATCCTTATCCCCACGCGACTTCCAACCACATAGATTGTCCAAATGCTGAATCATAGTTGACAAAAAAAATTTCCGATAACAAACTCTTGGAGAAAAAAAAAAGTTGATATGCGAAAGAAAAATGATCATTCCCTAATCGCCCGCATGGATCAACGTATTATGAACGGTTGTCAGCGAGAAATTCAAAAGTCATCATACGCCTTATCTTATCGTTCCTTATCATTCCATATGCGGGACGTGGACAAAGTTTCGCAAATACTATATCTCGCTTTTCGTTTATCTCACTAGCCGAGCGATTCATTTAAAATACATGGACGACCATACGAATTCCGGTATCGTAGCCGTATTTCGTAAAAATTTCCCCGTCGCACATACGGAGTTATAAGATAAAGCGTAATTTTTATTTAAATCCCGCATTATCAACACATTACAGAAGAACGACGAGATACCTCGGTTTTCGCATTTCACCGTCAGAGGCCGCTGACGAAATATCTCGTATTTACTATTTACCTATGCTGGGTATAGTTAGCAGTAAGATCTCTGATCCGCGATAGGTCGAGATTAGAGTACGTAAAGACAAGTCATTGAACGCGATATACGTAATTGCCAGAGATAACAGAAAGTCCTTATCGGTATCCGAGATTATTTGCAATACCAGCAAAGAGACTACAATAAGACATTTTGTGCGTTCTCAAAGTCGCGCCTTATCGGATTAAGTAAATCGCACGACGGGGGTCGTAATTTCCGTGACGACGGTACAGAAGTCAAGCACAGCCGCTAGTAAATGATTAGACAGTACGGCTAGTAGTGGCGAACAAGATATATCGTGGAGCGCGAACCGAGGCTGAGAGTCTGTGAAATAATAAGTGAAAATGTCACCACACAGCGTGATTGTCGTCACCGTGTAAAATCGTCCTTGAACAACTACGACGTCGAATTCTTTGTTCAAATACAAGGACGAGGTAGACTGTGAAAAATACTAATTTTCAATAAAAAAAATTTCTGATTTTAACTAAAAAAATTTGTTTTTCAGAATAAAACAAAACCCACCCACATGTACTTCGTGGACTTTCAACTGTGTCGATGCGCCGCGCCGATCACCGACCTGACATACATGATATTTTGTTGCTGTATAGCAAAGAATCTAGAGATCGATACTACGATCGATTGCATCAAGATTATTACGAATCTCTCTCGGACGCCTTATGAAAAATGGATTGCGATCCGGAAACACTTTATCCGATAAGCGCTCAAAAAGATATATTTTTTCAAAAATTCCCAAAACCAATCTCTTTCATTTTTCAGGATTCGCCGGAACCCGAGGACGTGTGTTTAATAGACTTTCAAATTTACCGCTTCGCCTCGCCAGCCCTCGACATTCACTACCTGATTTACAGCTCCACCAATCAGGAGTTACGTGACGAGTACTACGATCGTCTCATTCGCGATTATTACGATTCCCTGGCCGAATATCTCAGGGAACTTGGCTCCGATCCGACAGCTCTGTTTCCGTTGGACGTGTTGCGGGATCATTTGACGAAATTCGGCTCTTTCGCCGGTGCTATTGCTGTAATTTTGCTTCACCTCATAACCGCGAATCGCGAGGAAGCGACGGAAGTTAACGAGACGATGAACGACGTGGAGAAGCTGAAGGAACGTGTGATGAACGACACGCATTATCGCGTAACGTTGCGCGACGCTTTTAAAGATATGATTGATCGCGATTATATATAATTAAAATACCGCAAGCACCAGCCCTTATCACTTCCATTGATATCGCGGGAAATTCCTACCCGATAGCAATCCGATACTAGCTGCACCGGTAGGGTAATCTGGGCCTAGGCCCAGTCAGGGGCGGCTCGCGTAAAGGCACCACCCCCTATTTACACTTGACATTGTCAATGACGTTCAATATAGTCATTTTTTTTTCTTTAATTTTTTCTCTATATTTTTACGATATATAATAAATTTTCTTTTTATACATGCTTCTTTCATTTTACACAATTTTAAAACAAAGGCTACACGTTTTTCGGGGTAGCACCCCAAATACAGCTACGAGC